ATGTGCCCGAAACCAAGTTACATGCCCTTGACCAGAATCGAACCTGGGACCCCTCAGTTCACAGGCCGACGCTCTATCCACTGAGCCAAACTGGTTAGGGCTGTTGTTGTTTTTTTTAAGCTTTAAGGATTATGATAGAAAATATACCAAAAAGGATGCATATTGTAGCATCTTATCAGTTATGATGGATAAGGAGCATTTTGACTTCTGAACCTCTATGGTCACTGTACTTAAAGTGAAGGAGTCACTGTTTTAAGGGTATATTGTACCCTTGTCCAATTGAAAACTGTTCTTCATGGAAAAATGCTTATGATATTGTTAAGAGGCAGAGTATATAGTATTTATAAGGGCGGTGGCTCTGACCCAGGTTATCCCAGCTCCAACCCTGTTTCTGCCATTGACTAGCAGTGAAACTTGCCCCTCAGTTCACTTGTCTGTAAAATGTTGATAATTATAGACCTTTCTTATTGGGTGGGTTGTCACAATGAGTTAACATGTGAAAACTTTTAGGAAAGGCCTGGTACATAAGAAGTGATGTATTAGCCCAGGTAGCATGGCTCAGTGGTTGAGTGTTGACCTATGAACCAGAAGATTCCTGGTCAGGGTACATGCCTGGGTTTTGGGCTTGATCCCCAGTGTGGAGCATGCAGGAGGCAGCCAATCAGTGATTCTTTCTCATCATTGATGTTTCTATCTCTCTCTCCCTCTCCCCCTCCCTTCCTCTCTGAAATCAATAATTTTATATATATGTATAAATATATATAAAAGAAGTGGTGTATTAGTTTTAGAAATTATGATAATGAGATAAAGTGTCAGGTGACAAAAGCAGCAACTTGTGTTTAAAAGTGTGTTTATAGGCCATGGCCAGGTAGCTCAGTTGTTTAGAGAGTTGTCCCAGTACGCCACGGTTGCGGGTTCAATCCCTGGTCAGGACACATGCAAGCATCAACCAATCTATAATAATAAAAGCATAATATGCTAATTAGACTGGACAGCTGAATGACCTTCTGGACCAAGCCGGGGCTGCAAGGCTGAGACAGCCTCCCCGGCTGCGAGGGTCGAGCCCCTTGCATGAATTTCGTGCATCGGGCCTCTAGTGAATGCATAAATAAGTGGAACAACCAATCGCTTCCTCTCTCTCTCTCTCTCTCTCTCTCTCTCCTATCTCTCTTCTCTCCCTTTCTTCTCTCTCCCTCCCCTCTCACTCTCCCTTCCTTTCCCTCTGTCAAATCAATAAATAAAAAAATATAAAAGTATGTTTATAAAATCACTGCTACTAAAAAAAGGAACAGAATTATACTAAAGAGTGTGATTGCTTGGATTTTTTTTCCTTTCTATTTTCTGGTGTTTTCTACATTGTCTTTAATGAATATGTATTCTTGATACAATGGAGAAAATAATTTTATGGTAGGAAAAGATTACTCTGGTTTCTACACTATTGTCAAGGGTAGTAGGTTACTTTGCTCTGGGGCCTATAGGGATAACATAATTTTTGCAGTATGGTTAGTGGTTGAGAGTAGGCACAATAGTATTATTGATCATATGGATCTTCCCTGTTGATTTTAGAAAACTATTTTCCAGTCCTTTTAGGTAATTTTTTAAACTCTGAAGATGCTTAAAGAAGTTTTTGTTTTCTTCTTGAAGGATGTTTACTTTTGACTTTTCCACGTGCAGTAGGAAAGCTTCTGTACTTAATAGTCTCATCATTATATTTGGGTATATTTCTTATTTTATTTAGGGCATTTTCCTAAGTGCTAGTAATTTATTTTGAGCATTGGAAAGAGGTTTATGTATTTCAGCTTCTCAAAGAGACAGTAATAACTGCAATTTTCATTTTTTAGGATCTGGAAAATCTTATACCATGATGGGCACAGCTGACCAACCTGGATTAATCCCAAGACTTTGCAGTGGACTCTTTGAACGAACTCAGAAAGAGGAAAATGAAGAGCAGAGTTTTAAAGTAGAAGTGTCCTATATGGAAATTTATAATGAAAAAGTCAGAGACCTTCTTGATCCCAAAGGGTAAATGACTTTGAGACTTTACTATTATAGTATTAAGGACTAAAATTTAAATTGGCTTAAATAAAATGTTTTACATTGAACTCTAGCAGAGTTTTTTACCTAGTTATGTGTGATTTTATCTAGATTCCTAGTTACTGTTTTGTGATTTGCTGTTAGTTGCACTGAGTGGCGTTCTGCAGCCAATTCTGGGCTTTTGAAGTTTGGGCTGAGATGAGGCAGGGAAGTGTGGGTGAGCAGCACCTGTTTGGGTCATACTGCCTTCCTCATATACATCCTCATTACTTAGTTTCCAGATAACTGGTATCCTTAGTCAAGTAGGTAATTATTGTTTTTTTAACCAAGAAATTTCAGGAGGGGGGGAGAGAGTGGGCATGCTGTCGCTATGGCATATCCTCTCCCAGACCTGGAGGAGGGCTCCTAACAGTGTAAGTTATTGTGTCCCCGCGTATTTATTTGTTGTAAATATTTGAGTATTTTTATATTGACAAATAAAATGGAGAAAATGAAAAAAAAAACAGCTGATTTCAGGAGGAAATCAGCTGTTTGTTTATAGGCTGTGGAGAGAGAGACAAAGGGATATGAAACCTGGACTCTAGAATCGTTAATCTTAAAGATTCCTAGGTTGTTAAAAAGTCCCAATTTATGGCATAGACTTTGAAATAAAAGTGGCTCAGAAGTATTAGAAAGCCTTAAAAATGTTGTTCTCACTCTGCAGTCATATCTGAACCTAATGGGGAAGATAAGAGGTATCTGAGGAAATCTGTTCATTGCACACAGCATTTTCTGAATTCTGATTTTAGGGAAGTGTAACAGTGAGAGAAAGAAACAGATAATAACCACAGCTTGTGGCTTGTGGATGTAGAAACAGTGTCCAGGAGGTCAAAGAGCCAAATGAGCTGAGGCTTACAGAAAGTGCAGAGGGTAACGAGGGGACAGTGAGTTATGTTTGGATGAAGATGGTCAAGGAAAGATGGTCTTAGAGGCAGTGAATGATAGTGATTCATTGAGACCATTGCTCAATCAAAATGAGCATCTTTGCCCGGAGAAGGGAAGATTCACTAGAGCAGCGGTTCTCAACCTGTGGGGCGCGACCCCTTTGGGGGTCGAACGACCCTTTCACAGGGGTCGCCTAAGACCATCGGAAAACACATATATAATTACATATTGTTTTTGTGATTAATCACTATGCTTTAATTATGTTGTTTGTAACAATGAAAATACATCCTGCATATCAGATCTTTACATTACAATTCATAACAGTAGCAAAATTAGAGTTATGAAGTAGCAACAAAAATAATTTTATGGTTGGGGGTCACCACGACATGAGGAACTATATTAAAGGGTCATGGCATTATGAAGGTTGAGAACCACTGCACTAGAGGGAGCTTGATGAATTTTGTGCTGAGTAGGAGTTTTTTGACAGAGAAGTCAGGTGAGAACCATTCAAGCACAGGGACAGCCCATGCCAAGCATGTTTGGAGAAATCCCTGGTTTGGAGAGTGACCAGCTGTCCAGTGTGACTGGAGGGCAGGATGCATGGAAGTCAGAATAGGGCACAAAAGGAGGCCAGACTTAGGAAGGTTATGGCCTGAGCACACACATCTTGCTGAATATTGTGCCCTCGTACTTTTTCTGGCTCTACCCTGAAAACTTTCTCTTGCACTTTCATCTCTCTGAGGACCATCATTTTCTTAGAAATCCAGCCTAGACCTACTCAGAAGTTTTTAGCTGGCTTCATTCTTGTGTTTTGTATCCCACAGTACATGTGCGGCATAGCTTAAACTTTATCTACAGTTTTTTCATGGTCTTTAATAATTTCTTATGTGTTTGTCTTGTGTATAGCTTAGTAATTAACAGCTTGGGCTTTGGATTTATCTAGCTCTGATCTAGGCCCATTAATTGTTACCTATTGATCAAGGTCCTTATGCTTTTTAGGCCTCATTTGTACAGAGGGTATGATAATATTACAGAATATCTCAGAGGCTGTTGCAGGTAGACTGGGACGCTACACTTGAGGCCTTAGAACCTTTATGATGCATAGTAAGTGCTCAATAAGTATTAGCTGTTGTTATTGTTGTCTCCCCGATGGAAGTTCTTGAAGTTTTTTATAGTGTTTCTGAACAGTTGAAGTAAATAGATAAAAACTATAAAAGTGAGCCCTAGCCGGTTTGGCGCAGTGGATAGAGTGTTGGTCTGTGGACTGAAGGGTTCCAGGTTCGATTCCGGCCAAGGGCATATGCCTGGGTTGCGGGCTCGGTTCCCTGGACGTGCAGGAGGCACGTCTCTCTCATCATTGATGTTTCTATCTCTCCCTTCCTCTCTGAAATCAATAAAAATATAATTTTTTAAAAAACTATAAAAGTGATATTTTTTTCAGTGAAAGACTATTTGAGAGAACTTTGCTTTGTTATTCAAGGACTAATTTTATTAATTCTGCATGTACTATGTGTAATAATGTAATTCTGTTTTTATTTATTTATTTTTCTTAGTCCTCACCCAAGGATATGTTTTTATTGATTTTTAGGGAGAGAGAAAGGGGAGAGAGAGGGAGAGAGAGATAAAGAGAGAGAGAGTGAGAGAGAGAGAGAGAGAGAGAGAGAGAGAGAGAGATATGAGAGAGAAACAATGACCAGTTGCTTCCTGTATGCACCCTGACTGGGAATCAAACTCCAAACCTAGGTATGAGCCCTGGCAGGGAATCGAACCTGCAACCTTTTGGTGTACCGGACAATGCTCCAACCAACCAAGCCACCTGGCTAGGGCATAATGTAATTATGTTTTACTCAGGAGATAATACAGTACACATTATCTTTAAGATAAAGGGAAAGGAAAAAGAATATATCCTGAAGTCAGAACTAAGTTAAATAATTGTTCTATGTCTACTTTATGCAGTTTCATCATAGTAAGCAAAGTTTTTAGTGGTTGATTCTAGGCTACTAAAAGAATCCAAATCACTAAAAAATATTAAGTTAAACAAAATAAAAATCACTTGTAATCTCACCATCAAATTTTTTACATTGTAATGATTTTATTTTTTAAAGCGTTTTTTTGAGATATAATTCACAATCAATCATCAGCAAATATTCTTAACATTTTGGGTTGATATCATTAACTATGCTGTATGCTCTAGATTTCTGGTAGATGTCCTTCACTGCATTTATAGTTCTTTGTTTGCTAAGAGTCTTACTTATTTTTTAACTAGAGGCCTGGTGCACGAAAATCGTGCACTGGTGGTGAGGGGTCCTTCAGCCCGGCTGGTGCCCTCTCACAGTCCAGGACGGGGAGTGGACCTAACCTGGCAGTCAGACATCCCTCTAGCAGTCCAGGACCCCTCACTCCTTACTGCCCGCCTGCTCGCTGCTCCTTACCACTCGGCTCGCTGCTCCTTAGTGCTGCTGTGGAGGTGGGAGAAGCTCCTGCCAGCGCCGCTGCACTCATCAGCTGTGAGCCCGGCTTCTGGCTGAGCGGCGCTCCCCCTGTGGGACCACACTGACCACCAGGGGGCAGCTCCTGCATTGAGCATCTACACTTTGGTGGTCAGTACGCATCATAGCAGCTGGTTGTTCTGGTTGTTTTGCCATAATGATTGCTTAGGCTTTTATTATGTAGATCATAAATGAGTACTTAATTTTATCGAATATTTTTCCTACATTTATTGAAATGACTGTATGTGTTTCTTCCCCCCCACCCCCATTAGTCTATCAATGTAGTAAAGGCCATGAATCTTTTTCCAGTACAAAAAAACACAAAAACTGGAAACCCCGAGATAAGCCCAATTTTAAGTTTTTAAATCATCATCAAATTCATTATTTGTCGTCTTTTGTCTTTATTCATGACCGAGGTTGGTATGTAATTTTCCTTTCTTGCACAGTTAACATTTATTGAGTTTCTGCTCTCTGTCCCACATTCTGTGAAATGACAAGTAGACTGTTTGTATTTATTTGACTTGGCATTCTTTGTGGTAGCAAATAGACATCCCACAGTGTACCCTTTTGAGAGATGTGATATTTTACCACATTGTGAAGTGTTTGTTACCAGTCAAGATTTTAAATTTTGGTTTAAATTCTTCTGGGATCAACTCAGTGGTTTTATTTTTTTTGGAGCTTTGTTGAATTTAATATGTATTTTATGGAGCACAGTTTAATGCTTTAAAAAACAGGTTATTGTTTAAAAATAATTTCTTTGTTTTTAATGCACAGAAGCCGTCAAACGTTAAAAGTCAGAGAGCACAGTGTGTTGGGACCCTATGTCGACGGACTTTCTAAACTGGCTGTCACAAGCTATAAGGTAACAACATCCTTTATGTAATTCGGTGTAGCAGTTTTTTTGTTTAATTTGTGATTATCATTATTTTTGAAATTTAAAAAGTTACAGCAGTGTCACTTAATAAACTACTTTTTACATAATTTTTTACTTAAAAAGCTGTATATGGCTGTCAGGACAGTTTAATTGTGGGAGAAGGTGTACATTTGCAAGACATACCTATTCCTCTATTGTAAGATACACTTTTTGGGGGGTTTTACAAGCTCTAAAATTGTGATGTTCCTTACAATGATAAATATCAGCTTTTTGTCCTCCCTGAGAGTACATAAAATAGTGAAGTTGCTTATGATTGAGTGGATATAATGAAATACAATGTATGAGTTGAGAAGATGGAATTCAAAGCCTGTTTCTAATATGAGAGAATCACTGCCTTTATTTAGTTCTTATCATTTTCAAACTCAGGGTTCTGCTTTGTGTGAATCCATCGGTCTTTGCGCACTGGGGAAATGGGGGTGGGGTGACATGCTGTGATGTAATGTACATTGAATTGAGAGTCTGAGAATGTTGATCCAGTGACACTTAATCCTTTTGTTCAATTTCTGTTTGACTCTGGGTTCTTTACTCCACCTCACCTACCCTCTTTGTCCTAATTTTCAAAATGGAAATTAGTTTTATAGTCTTGACTATCTGATGAGGTAGGTTCATTTGTTTCTTTGTTCATTAATGAATCCTATCATTTGGTCAATGACACTTCGCTTAGTAAATATCTGTTGAATACCTGTCATGTGCCAGGCATTGTGCTAGATGCTGAGGATATAAAAAAGAGAATGAGATGGTCCATTACCTCAAGCTGCTTATAGATGTTATAAAGTTATTATGAAACAACATGGTTTTAAGTGCTGTGGTAGATGCATATTCGAGGAGGGGTACCTAACTTAAATGGATATGTAGGTGTCTGTGAAGGCTTCCTGGAGGAGATCAAATGGGATAATGTATGTGAAAGTCTTTGAGAACCGTAGAGCAGCGGTCGCCAACCTTTCGGGCTCATGGACCACCAGTGGTCCGCGGGCCACCGGTTGGCGACCACTGCTCTAGAATATGTTTATAAATGTTAGGTATTGTTGGTGTATTAATTATGATCATTTGAGAGCATATTTATGCAACATTGGAGAGAGAGCAAGTTTTGAAAGCTCAAAGGAGATTGGATGTTAAAAAAATTAAAAGGCTCAATACAGAGTTCATGCATGAGGCAACAGATTAGAGACCAGTGAATAAATGTAGGCTAAATAGGATAAACTTTTACGTTAAACCTTAGGATTGTCAGATTTAATGGGTCTAAAGTGGATTCAGAATGGATCTAGAACATTGTGATTTTTTCCATTGTGGTGCCTATTTATATATCTTTTTACAGTTAATATTTTTACTTTGAGGCATTTTATTTATAATGTTGACGTTTTCCTTAAGCATTATTTTTAAAAATTTATACAGCAAAATAGAACCTTATGGTTTTCAAAGGTTTTTATATGTGTATGTCAGGATTATGTTTGGCTACATATAACAGGATTTAAGTTCTTTGGAATATGAATTATTATGTTTTGACCATTCTGTGTTCTCAGTATCTTAAAATGTACCTGGCACATAGTAGGTGCTTTCGATATATATTTGAGTGAGTGAATGAAAGATGAATGAATGAAGGAATGAATGAAAGAATGAATGGTGAAAGGGCTGCTATGGTGGCCCTAACGATGCTGTTAGGAAACTAGATTCCTGCCAGCTCTGTGGTAATGCCCTTATTCTTATAGTTCAAGGTGGCTCTAGAACAGCCGTGGGCAAACTACGGCCTGCGGGCCGGATCCGGCTATTCCTGCCAGCTCTGTGGTAATGCCCTTATTCTTATAGTTCAAGGTGGCTCAGAACCAAATGCAATAGTATGCCTATCCCCTTTAAGCACAATTCCCAGTGACCTGTATTATACTTTACCTCTCATTCGCTAAAACTTAGTCATATGGACAGACTGAGCTTCAAGGTGTCTGGGAAATGTCCCTTAGCTATGCTGCAATATGCTCACTGAAGACTGGGTTCCTTTACTGGAAAGAGGAGGAGACTGGATAGAAGGAGGCAGCTAGTGGACTCTTACACATATCATCTTTCTTGTTCCTCAATTAAATCCTTATAATGTAGATGATGTTATAGCTCTGCATTGTTACCTATGAAAATCAAATTCAGATGGTTTAAGTAACTGTTTTAGAGCTTGTAACATTTTTTAAAATGAAGATCCCATGATCTTTCTGTATTGCATCATGCTGTCTCTGTTTTAGCAGTAATGCCAACAAGTAGTGCAGAAATTAGTCTCTTGAAGTTTTTATTTTTAAAAATAGGTCTGGTAAGATATACTCCAAGATAGTGAGGTGATGCTCTGCTTGCTTGAGAGGTTATAAATTATTTTTGCTTTTTGCTTATTCCTGTAATCTAATTTGATTTAACAGTTAGCTTCTATTACTTCTGTAATTAAAGAAACTATTTTTTTTTCAAATTTCTAGATGAGATGAAGATTGGCATGACATATTTGTCCATTTTATGAAACTCAGCATATGGTGTCTAAACTTTTCTAATTCTCAGTCAAAGCTGCCACTTTATTTACACCTATAGAAAATAGTGTATTTTATTTTTTTTCATGGGCAGTATTGGCTGTTGTACTCTGAGGTTTAATGTTCGTTGAAAAATAAAGTGTAAATGTCAGCTATGGCTGAATAAGTAGTGAAACTTTTCATGTATTTCCTATTGTAGCAGAGTTTTAATATATATTAGATGGATAATGAAATGTATGTCTGTGACTTGTTTTCACTTAGGATATTGAGTCTTTGATGTCTGAGGGTAATAAATCTCGTACAGTTGCTGCAACCAACATGAATGAGGAGAGTAGTCGATCCCATGCGGTCTTCAAAATCACCCTCACACATACTTTGTACGATGTGAAGTCTGGGGTAGGTGTTCAGATGTATGTATGACCCCCCCCCCTTTTTTTTTAATTTGTAAAGTGGATCATGGTTTATCTTATTCTCTTCAGGTGTTAGATGACTCGAAGTCCTAACTAAACATGTGTATCAGTTAGGACACAGGAGAAGAAACAAAAGCTACTCTTGGTTAACAGAAAGAGATTTAAAGGAGGGATTTGGGGGCTTGCAAAGTTGTTGGAACATCTGAGGAGGAGTGGGTTCTAGACTGAATCTCTAGGAAAAACTTCCAGAACAACACAAGCTTATTGACCAGGATGCTACCCCTGAGGCCACCACTATGCTGTGGCTGTGAGTTCCAGGCATACCCCATAGCTGTGATCCAGGACAGCATACTACCACGATCCTGCATGCCAGCAAAAACCCACAAAAACCCACACAAAAAAACAATAAGGGTCAGAGGATGGCCTTTGCTTTACTTCTGTTTTCCAAATCTTAAGCAAGTGTATCTGACAGAACCCAAGTCAGCCCATAACCCTGGCCTGCGAGGGAGACTGAGAAATGTAAGTTTCAGCTTTCCACCATCTCCAGCTAAAGAAGGCGGAGCAGAAGTTATACAAGCAGATGGTCCAAAGTCTTTGCCACAGCATTTTTCCCCCACAGCATTTTTTTGAGCTTTGAACTATGATGGCTAATGGTATAAGCTAATGTTAGTACTCTAGTTGATTCAGTGGAGATACTTTTGAAATATTACCTTCTGCTAAGCAGCTAAGTATTAGAAGAAATAAATTGCACTGGGGAAACTGTACTATAAGTTGCTAGATTTATAGAATGATTTTTTTGAGTATTTAGTTTTGAAACTTGTAAGAGTAAACAGCCAGATACACATATGCTTCTACACACTGAAAACATCTCTGTTGACTTACACATTTGTGTTTTCCTCTTTTAATATGAACTTTTGCATATTTTATTATGATGCCCACCCCCAGCAAATCGATTTCAAATACCAGAAGCTAAAATAATTACCCTGGCAAAGCACTATATTTTGGCAGGATTTTTATTTGCTGAAAGCTTATTTTTCTTCTATTGCCATCACAGCAAGATTAGTGTAACAACAGAAAGTTCTTTGTTTCCTATTTCCTTTTCAGCATAAAGCAAAAAACATACTGAAGCCTTTTTTTTTTTTTTAACCAGAAGTACTTTTGATTTGGAAAGCTGAATATCCTTTTGTAGCAATATGTTTATTTATGGAAATAAATATGAATGTATATTTTAAAGGAAAGTTTTTAAAAATGATCCAGTCTATAGAATTTGGCATTGATTTCCCACATTTTTGTATTGCTGCCGAAAATAAAATGTTAATGTATGATTTAATATAAAACATTTTTATATTAAAAATTTATTTTTCAATTACAGTTTATATTCAATATTACTTTGTATTAGTTTCAGGTGTACAGCATAATTGTTAGATAGTCATACACTTTACAAAGTGTTCCCCTGATATTTCCAGTACCCACCTGGAACCACATGTATTTAGTACAATACTAATGACTATATTCCCTATGCTTGTGCTTTATATCCTCATGTGTTTTGTAACTACCAATCTGTACTTCTCAGTCCCTTCACCTTTTTAACCCTTCCTTCTGACAACCACCAGTTTGATCTCTGTATCCAGAATTTTGTATAATTTTGTGTTTACAAGATTGTACAGTTTTCTCACGCTGGTTTATAGCAGCACAAACTAATTTTGAAAAAACAGTAACTCTTTAATAAAGGATTTCTATAATAAACTCATTCTGTAGAGATGGTATTACCTTTTGTATTCCTTAACTGTGTATTAGTATTTGTCAATTTACTTTCTAGACATCTGGAGAGAAAGTGGGCAAACTGAGCTTGGTGGATTTAGCTGGCAGTGAGCGGGCAACAAAAACTGGAGCTGCTGGTGACAGGTTGAAGGAGGGGAGCAACATTAACAAGTAAGTTTTTCAGGAGCTTACTTTATTGCTTTGTTGATTTAATAGCCAAATTGGTGAACTTCTGTGGTTATTAAAATAATAAGATTCTGGGTCGATTAAGGCTATAATGGTTTTTTCAGATGTATATTGTTTTATGAGCTTGAACTTATTTTATGTTTTGGTCAGATGTCTGATGGGGCTGAGGAGTACAGCCTCAGCCAATCAGAGGTTTCTCAGGAGTGGCTTTTTGAGATTTGGGGCCTGCCAATTCTTTGTCCATAGGAGTGGTTCTGTGTACCATATTCTAGGATGTTTAGCAGCACCCCTGGCCTCTACCCACTAGGTGGCGGTAGTATCTGCCACCTCTCTCCCTCCACCCTAAGTTGTGACAGCCCAAATTATCTCCTCACATTGCCAGCTGCTCCCTGTGGGGATACAGTCACCCCCAGTTGAGAACTGCTGGTCTAAGCTATAGAACAGAACAAAGGTAATCAGTCAATCAGAGTCCAGCTGTTGATCTTGACCTGAGTGTCACTGTCTGAACAAACAGCAGCATGTATACGGGCCACATCTGGCTTTCCTTTTTATGACTGCTGTGGTGCTTATTTATTCCTAGAGGTTAGGGCTTTATGAAGTAACGAGTGGCCCAGTGCATGAAATTCCTGCACGGGGATGGGATGTCCCTCAGCCCGGCCTGGACCTTCTCCAATCTGGGACCCCTTGGGGGTTCGGGCCTAAACCGGCAGTCAGACATCCTTCGGACATCCCTCTTGCAATCTGGGACCGCTGGCTCCTAACTGCTCACCTGCCAGCCTGCCTGCCTGATCACCCCTAACCACTCTGCCTGCTGGCCTGCTCACCTCCAACTGCCCCTCCCCGCTGGCCTATTTTGGGGGGGGGGGGGGGGGCTGTCCCTCAGACCAGCCTGCACCCTCTCCAATCTTGGACCCCTCGGAGGATGTCCGACTGCTGGTTTAAACCGGCAACTGGACATCCCTCTCGCAATCCGGGACCGCTGGCTCCTAAGCACTCACCGGCCTGCCTGCCTGCCTGATTGCCCTCAACTACTCTGCCTGCCGGCCTGCTCTCCCCCAACTGCCCCCCACTGCTGGCCTGCTCGCCCCCAACTACCCCCCCTGCTGGCCTGATCGCCCCTAACCACTTCTGCCTCAGCTCCGCCACCATTGCTTTGTCCAGAAGGACGTCCAGAAGGTCTCCTGGAAGGTCTCCAAGTCTAATTGGCATATTACCCTTTTATTAGTATAGATAGAGGCCTAGTGCACGGGTGGGGGCCAGCTGGTCTACCCTGAAGGGGGTCCTGGATCAGGGTGGGGGTCCCCTTGGGGGCGGAGCCGGCCTGGGCGAGGGGCCTGGGGTGGTTTACAGGCTGGCCACACCCCCATAGGGGTGGGGGTCCCAACTGGGGGCGGTGCTGGCCTGGGCGAGGGGCTGGGGAAGTTTGCAGGCTGGCCACACCCCCATCGGGGTGAGGGTCCCCGCTGGGAGCAGGGTGGGCCTGGGCAAGGGGCTGATGGCCGTTTGCAGGCTGGCCATGCCTCCATCAGAGTGAGGGTCCCTGCGGGGGGCTTGGCCAGCTGGGCGAGGGGCTGAGGGCCATTTGTAGGCTGGCCACGCCCCTATTGGGATGGGAGTCCCCGGGGGGTGGGGTGGGCCTGGGTGAGGGACTGGGGCAGTTTGCAGGCTGGCCACGCCCCCATTGGGGTGAGGGTCCCTGCGGGAACATGGCCTGCCTGGGCGAGGGGCTGAGGCCCGTTTGGGGGCAGTTTGCAGGGTGGCCAAGCCCCTGCCTTTGTCCGGAAGGTCTCCTGGTCTAATTAGCATATTACTCTTTTATTAGTATAGATGTTTTGTTCACCAATTCTTTCACATGGCTATATTTTCTACCTCGGGCTAAAATGTTAGCCCCTGTGGACAGGAATTTTTCTGTCTTTGTAGCTCCCAGAAGGACGTAACCAGTCATTAGTAACCAGCTGGAGATCATAGAACACCATCATGCAGATTCTATTATTATCCAATGGCGATATACAGTATATAACCAATCCTAACATATAAAAACTCTGGGTCATAACGACCAGTAACGACCGAGGCTCAGCCAACTGGAAGTCAGTCCTGCAGTCAGGGCTGGGTTGCAACCAGTAACAACCAAGGCTCCATCAACCAGAAGTCAGCCCTGCAGTCAGCGCTGGGTTGCGACTGCTTCTGCTGCAGGCGTGGTGCCCCAGCACTGATGGCTGAGGGAGCTGTGAATCAGGGCCAGAGAGAGGCCTGAAGAGAGAAGCAGGGACTGATCCATTGCCTCTGTGGCAGCTTTTGATCAGCACTTGCCTTTCTCTTTCTCTCCTAGTCTGGCCAGCAGTGGTGCCTCCATTTCTCTCCAGGCCTCAGCTGGGGCTGCTGATCAGCCCTGCCTTTCTGATCAGGCCCTGTTGATAGGCCCAGAGATGCTGACTGGCATAGGAACCGAACAATCAGAACCAAATCTGGGTGCTGTGTGGAGCCAATGGCTGCCAAGGAGGCGGAGCTTTTGACGCTGACTGGCATAGAAACTGATCAATCAGAACCAAATTGGCCAGCAGAGGAGGGCAGTTGGGGGTGAGATCAGGCCAGCAGGGGAGGGCAGTTGGGGGCAACCAGGCCAGCATGGGAGGGCAGTTAGGGGTGATCAGGCTGGCAGGCAGAGG